GCTAACATGTATTCAGAAAAACAATTTTCAACATTAAAATAAAAGATTGAATTTGTATATGTTGGTAATGAACAAGTGGAAAATAACCTTGTCTTTTTGGTGGGAGGTTTAAATATAATAAATAAGGTGGGAAGTTTTGGTAGGCCATATTTGCAAAATTGGATTTTAAAAACTTTTATACAGGACTTTAGGCTTATTTTTGATCCTAGAATTTACCCTTAGAATATTAGCACAGCTCAGTTACATCCTATAGAAATAATTAAAAATATATGAATTGACCAAATATAAAAAAAAAATTTCTTACAATAAATCTACACTTACTTTTTAGTATATTTTTAATAAAATTTTATTATCATTGATACTTCTTTTCATCAGATATCTTAATATGAAATGTTTAATTGTTTTATTTTTTTTATTTTCATTTATTTTTAAAAATCTCAGTCTTTGAAAATTGAATAATTTATTTTGAATTTTAACTTTTAAATTCATGAATTAAAATAAATTTATTTAATTTGAATTTTAAAAATGATTGATATGAAGATTTTTTTAAATATCAATTGTTAATATCAAAACAAATAAAATTTTAGTTGCATAATTCATAATAAATTTCATTATTTTCTTGAAATACAACACTATTTTTATTAGCATAATTTTTATTATGCTAACAAAAGCATTTTATAATTCATAATCATACAAAATTCACTTGGAATTTTTTATATAATTACAGTAAAATTGCTCAGGCTATATATTGTTTAACTAATTGCTTTCTAAATCTTAAACTTATCTAAATCAACATGATTTTATCCTACTTTCTTTTAAAGAAATAAAGAATAAATTATCTTTCAGATTTTTTGCTTTGTTGGAAGTCATAATCTTTTATATAAAAATATAAATTAATTTACATGTATTAATATTATCATCTGTTATCGGTTAGTTGAAAGTAGTAAATATAATTATAATTGAAAATATGATCGTAATTTTCAATTTGTTTATTTTTAATTATATTATAACAACGTAAATCTGTATAGCATTTACTTTTCTTAGTTTTTATCATTTTTATCATTGAATCTTTCTGAATATTAACTGCAAAAAAGATTTAAAATCTTTCATCCTGATTATATTAAATTATTTTTGTTGATTATTTGCATTGTTTTGATTGTTTATTCTGATGAAATTTTTTTATTTTGCTTTTAGCTTTCCAGAATGTACAAAATTGTCCATATAAATTGTTACAGCAATTAGAATATCTATTAACTTTGCCATTGTATCAACTTTGGCCATTTGCTCTACCTTTTGTGAATAATTTACAAAAATTACTTGAACCCAACGTACCTCGAGAAATTCTGGAAAAATCTAAGCGGCTTTGGTGGAAATTAAACAGAGTATTTCCTCGTCGTCTCTGGCTTATAACAGTTAATGCATTGCAACCTCCTCGATTTCCTTCTACGGTAGTTAAACCCTTAACCTTGGATAATATTGTTTTAGATCCATTGCATGTTTTAAGATGTGATGAAAGAATATTTAGGTAATTTAATCATTTTAAAATTTAATTTCTTTTGTATTGTAAATATATTTCATTTATGTATAGTGTGATCATAATTAAAGAATAGGTGTTTACAGTTCTATGTAGAAAGAACCATTGGGCAAATTTCAACCATTTTTGATATACATATTGTACTGATTTTTGGGGAATTTTCAAAACTGGATACTTACAACAGTATATTTACTAAGTTTGACTGAAATTTGCCAAATAGTTCTTTTTACAGTGAACTCTGAACACTTACTCTTTAATTATGATTACTTTGTAAATTTGATATTGATTATAATTTTATTTTAAAATAAATTTTAGATGTGCTCCCTTATTGGAAATTGTTCTTCATATGTTGCAAGCTTTTTTAGCTGCATCACGCACACATTTGGCTCATCACATGTTAGAGCATCCGTCAATAGACAAAGTGAATCAAGTTGATACCGATAAGAATCGAGAAGAACTTCGCTCAGCCCTTGTTGCATCCCAAGAAAGTGCTGCTGTGCAGATATTATTGGAATGCTGTAGGCCATCTCCTGAAGATAAAGTAAATTTTTAAATTTATTAAATATGATTAGACAAATCTGTTATTTCATCTTAAACTTTATGCTGCTTCATAGATTTCATAATCAAATTTATAAATTTGTTATTGCATAGAGTCTACCTGTCATGGTCTGTACAAGTATGAAGATAATCCATTCTCTTTTAGTAACTAAGTCCAATGAATACTAGGTATTCATTGAGTGATCTCTGAGGAATATTCAGTGCTGTTGGGAGCTGGCCATGAATAGGGAGGACTGTATATCTTTTCACCCAAATGTAGCACTTTAAGGACAATGCTTGATCACTTTAAGAGAACTCCTTAAAGAAAAGTATACACTAATAAACTATGCTCTTTATATAAGAAGTTGTTACAAATAGTATGTAGTTTATTATTGCATAGTTTTCTTAGTATTAAAAACAAAACTGTGTATGTACACACATGCATGTGCTCACATGTACAGTAGGATTCTTATTGTAATCATTTTGATACTTAGCCCATACTGTTAACTGAGTGATAACTTTATGTGGTGAATGTAAGTAGACCGCAGTGGAAATTCTACTTTTATTGAATCAGATAATTTAAAAACATATTAAAACAATTAAAAATGTTTAAAAATAAATTTAATAATTAACTCAAAAGTTTATTAATTATAATAATACTTAGGGTTGCCACATATTGAGATGCTCAATGTAGGACAAATTGACAACCAAAAAGAAAATTAAGTAAATTATTAATAAAATTATGATTTATTTCAGAAAAATTTAGGTGACAGTTACAATAATTTAACATAACACTATATAATTTAGGTAATAATTATTAATAATTGAATACAATGCTGTATATACAGATATATATTGTTTATTCATTATATCTGAACTTATATTTTTTTATCATTTTTTGCACATTTCAATAGTTCTACATCATTCTGTACCTTTTCAAGAAACTATATGCAAACTGCTTTTACAATAGATAGTTGTAAGCAATTCTGCTTTGATAAGTTATACAGAATCCAATGGTGATTACAGTGCTTCCCACCAGGGTCAAAAATGGAAGTTTGTAGTAAAATGAAAGTTTTCATTGTTGGAGTAAAATATTGTTGTCAACAAAGATTTTGATTGTATTCACAATATCCAGCATATATATGTGCATTCAGAAATTAATTGAATGTTCTTTGTGTTTTTTTTAAAATGATTTAATTTTTGAACATAAAAGTTTTTTATTTGTTTACAAATATAAAGTAGGACAATTAAGCTTTCATATAGGACATACGACATTTGTTGTGATTGTAAGACTGTACTGTCCTACCGAAAATAGGACATGTGACATCCCTAATAATACTTTACTTAAGTAGTTCATCCAGCATTGTTTGCTGGCTATTTTTGAGCAATGCTTTATTAATAAAATATTCATTTTCATAATATTTTCAAAATACAATATATCTGTACTGTACAACATCATAAAGCAGTTGCAGAGCTTCTCACATCTGAATATTTGTTGGAGGATCTAGACCAGTCATGAATGACCTGTAGGTCTTGCACAGGTTGCTTATGATTGTTCTATATGGCTCCCTGGGAATTTGGCAATGTAATTTCCTGTTTTCTACCTTGAGCCATATTGAACGCTAATTAATTTGATATTCATGATGAAGAATATTCAAACTAAAGTTGACCAATGAAAAGATGAAAATAAGCTATGTATTATTAGTTTTTATATTGTTAGCATGTATTATTTTAGTACCTAGAGTACTGGCAGTTATGGAGTATGTTGATATTCAGCAGGTTTTCATGTAACCTGCTGAAGCCTTCAAAGTTCACTTGTGGCCATCATCCAGAAAAGGTAGCTCATCACTAATCTAGACTATCTTCATGTTAATTTTCTTCAATTTTATCAGATAATTCTCAGTCTTCTTCAGTAAAAATTTGGCATATTTCTGATGATGCCATTAAAGCAGACAGTGGAATTTTCCTGGCAATAGCCAACCAGTTTTTAAACTTTTCTTTTGACATGTCTTCTGGTGTGTTATTTATGATCTCCTCTTCAATAGACAAAACTTCAATAGACTAAAATTTTAAAAACAATTCTCAATAGTTTTCTTGGATACTTGATCTCATGACTTTCTCAGACTCTTCTTCTCATCATGAATTGTGTTTGTCCACAATATTTTCTCATTTTCTTGTAGGTTGAATCAACCATAGATTGCAATAAAACTTTTTCCTCATATTTTTAACTAATTCTGCTGCTTTTATGACATATTAGTGGTCCATTAATATATTCATCTTTTTTCGCAGATATTAGTAAATTAAAACTTCAAGTTTAACTAACCTTTATTATTTTTTCAATTAAGTTTCTCTTGTGATTTTAATTCTTATTTTTTAATTTTCATATTCACTCTGTTTTTCAAAATCTTGCATAAAACTGGCTGTGAAATTTTTTACTCTGCATTGAATTAACTCATTTTTGCAACTTATCATAGTGTTCTAAAACTTCAAGTTTTATTTTTGAGGAAAAATCTTAGCTTAATGAAAGAAGCAAATAAGAGATGCAAAGATGTATTTTAATTAAACAGTAATGAAGATTGTAGTCTTTGACGATAGCAAATAATGAATGGCCTATAAATGAGGTAACAAATGCCAGAAGTCTAAACTACAGTACTGAGTACAAGATTATAATGAACATTTCAATCTATTAAGAGTGAATATATTACATGATTGGATGGTTTTAAATTGATTCAGACTGTTATGCTAATATTTTTATTGAGTATTATGGCTTATAATCATATTTGCTTTGTCAGTTGGCTGTTATTAATCATCTAAGCAAATTATAGTTACATTAATAATGTAATGGTAAATATAAAATTTCTGATTATGAAAAACATTTTTTGTAAAGTTATTTAAGTTATGTTGTTTCTGATGGTATCTGCAATTACAATAAGCTGTACCTACTATATATATATATAATCTTATTGTAAGCATTAAATTCATAAATTTTATTATGAAAATTATGAAGCAGCAAGAAATGTAGAATGGTAGTGATCTCAATGATTTATTAATCACTGTCTTCCACATAGCTATGTATAATAGCATACATATTAATAAATGTTATTGTAGAATGAGTAATTTTTCTAATTTAATTATAAGACTATGTGATAAAAATAGAAGAATATATAAGCTTATCCACCAAAATTGTTAAATTTTATTGCATATTTAAATAATTGAAAAATATTGAAATTGTTTAAGGATTTTTAGATGGATATTTGGAAACAAAATTTTTAATAAATTGTCTGTAATTTGTTTCAGGAAAAAAATGGCCTTTTAACAGAATTACGTGAAGTTCAAAGTTTAATTTGTTCTCATGTACATCAAGTGTTCATATCAGATCCTCATTTAGCTAAATTAGTACATTTTCAGGTAAACTACTATTTAATTATAATAAATTAATACATGTAAATCATAAAATCTTATAAATAATTTAAACAACATATATTAATATTTATTAAAATCTTACCAACATTTTTCATAATTTTTTTTTTTTAAATTACATTAATGTTTGTGATTACTTCAAGTATTTTCTGCATAAGTTGAATGTTCTCAAAAGTGTGGATATAATTAACAGATGCTGAAAGATATGAGTTTGTTAATATTTTAATTAGAATTCATGAAAATCATTCATCCTAAAGCAAAAGAATTTAATCTCTAGTTTTTCAAAAAATTCAAAAATAGAAATAACATGGATGAACATATTGCCATATCACAGAAGAAATTCAAATTGATATACAAAATTCCATACTTTTATATGATATGTTTGAAAATTATTTTTCTTTACTAAGGAATTTATTAAGTAAGTGGGTCTTCAAAGACCTGAGTCCCAGTGCTCTCCACTGTTTACTTTTAGCTAGATTTTCCACTATTAGGGATACGTAAATCTAATAAACTGAATACTAATAAAATTATACAGTGTGGATATATGCAAATACATAGCACAAAGTTTATATTTTGTTAATTTATATGATCTATAAATAATTTTTGCACTAGGGCCACGATACTTGTTCCATCACTGATTCTTGATGTATTTAAATTATTATTATAATTCAACTATAATTGAAAGTGTAGTTCATATTTTATAACTTAATATAAAGATATTAAAATTATATTATTTTTATTAATTTAACAATATAAAATTAAAATTTATGCAATGTAATATATATTTTAGGGTTATCCTAGTGAACTGCTTTCTGTGACAGTTTCATCTATTCCATCCATGCATATCTGTTTAGATTTTATACCTGAATTACTTAGTCAGCCTCATTTAGAAAAGCAGGTAAATTAGTTTTTTAAAATAAATAAATAATATAACAACTTAGAAAAATATTAACACAAAAATTTTTTATTGAAGGTCTTTGCAATAGAACTCGCATCATATTTATGTCTTGAATATGCTATTCCAAAATCTCTTAGCATAGCAAAATTATGTATAAATGTGGCACATACTCTGTTAGGAGGTAAGTTACTGTGTACATTTTATGTTTCTGTTCTTGATTATATAATTATGATATAATTACAATGGTAAAAATATGAAATTAAGTTAAATGCTTTTAGTAGTGCAGAAAATAAAAACATTCATGGATTCCAAAAATGTGGTTTATAGAATTAAAAAATTTCAAAATTTTCCATACTCTACATTAAAGATAGAGACAGCATATATTTTGACAATATATTCCTAAAAATATCGTTCAACTGTTGCACGTTTGACTGTAATACAGAGTTACTTATCATAAAGGCAGTTCCAATCATATACAAACATCTCTAAACTAGATAAATTTGAAGTAAAAATAATAAGTTTACATGGCCAACGATTATTTAATATTAATATAATAAATATAAATACAACTTTTTTACAAAGAAAAATGTTTTGTTTCAGTCATTTTTTCGTTTTGTTGATGGTGCGAACAACGAAAAAATGACTGAAACAAAGAATTTTTCTTTGTAAAAAAGTTATATTTATATTTATTATATTAATATA